CATGCTGGTATTTTATCCTTCCAGTGTCCCATCTGCAGAAATAATAATGCATTTCTCACGGAGATGTTTATCATGGGGATCCGAATCCCCTTCAGGTTGGTGTCCTTCTGCCTGGCTCCCAACACAGGGGGTACAAGTGCTGTGCTGTGCCAGGGCCTGCCCCAGCAGGAGTTGGGGCAATTGCCATTTCCAACTTCCCACAGGAGTTGGAAATGGCACAGGGGGAAGAGCAGGGACACCCTGCACCTGCCCAGGGCAGGGGGAGCTCATCAGTTTTCCCTTTTCCATCAGAGAGCCATCATGGGAGGAGAATGATGCGTTCGCTGAGCAAGGAGAGACACACAGGCACTGCGATGCCAGTGAGTGCCTTTGTCCAGGAGGCAGGCAGGAGGCAGAGGAACAGGGGTAAGTTGCCAAAGCTGCCTCCCAGGGCTCTGCAGGGCTTGAAGGACCCAGGAGAAGAGCTCAGCCAGATAATCCCACGCTTTGGACACTTTGTCCTCACCTCCATGAACCCGTTTGCTTCCCCAGGCCCTGGGAACTGCTCCTGTGCTCCTCCTGTGGTGCCGAGGGCACCCACAGACACTGCTCTGGCCTGAGGGACAGTATAACCAGCTGGGAATGTGACAACTGTGCTGGCCAGAGCATCCGCAGACACTGCTGTGGCACGACAGCCTGCACGAACAACTGTGACTGTGACAGCTGTGCTGAGTACCTGACATGTAAGAAGCAAAGCACCTGAATGCCCCTGGGTCAGGTGCCCCTGGGCCTGGCAATGGGTGCCCAGGGTGGTCTTGGCAGAGCCTGTCAGCTCCAGGAGGGCTGCGGGCACTGCTCTGGCCTGGCCTGTCTTGGGTCTGGGGCGGTCTTGACCTTCCTGCTTCCCCTTACAGCCTCCGGTGAATTCTCAATCCTTGCCAGACTCATGGAGGAGTCTCCTGCTGTGTCAACAGAACATGAGACCATCACCCCCAGCACCAGCCAACAGGCAGCATCAGAGCAGTCTCTGGAATCTCCCTCAGAGGAGATGAGCAGCCCCAGCCCTTATAGTCAGGTAACATCGAGGCCATCCCACAGCAACATCCCAGAAACTGAGGGCAGCAGCTGCTCTCGCAGTCGGGGGCCTGACCGCCGGCAAAACCGCACCTGCCGGCAAAGTCGGCCCCCAAATCCACATCCTCGGTCCAGAAGTCCCCGTGACAGCAGCCATGTGCCGGAACCAACTGCTGCGAGGCGCAGGCCCAGGCAGGGACAATCAGGGACATCCCCCAGGCGAAAACGCTCCCGCTGGCAAAGTCGGCCCCAGAATCCACACCTTCGGTACCCGAGTCCCTGTGACAGGAGATGTTCGCCAGACCTCCGGTCCCCGAGTCCCCAGGACAGGAGCTCTTTACCACCACCACCAAGTCCTCGGAGGCGCAG